GTGTCCTCTTCTGCACATGCGGGACACTTCTGGGTCGTATGAAGTTCACACAGCAGATCACATACAAGTCGTATTTAATAGGAAATGTGAACGAATTCACAAAGAAAATCTGATTTCACAAAAAAATCTGAATTGAGCATTAAGTCCTGCAGTGTGAACGTAGCCAATCTGTGGATTGTTCAGTCAGATAATACGCCGTTATCCTTATTTGTGATATAAAATGTCATGTTGGAGTCAGATTCCAAGGTTGTCGCTATGTTAAGGCTGTTTTTAATGGGTTCTGTTCATTTTCCCTACAAACCTGTCGGATAGCAATTTTTTCAGATTGTTCAGGGTCGATTATTAAGTCACGACTGTCCATTTTTCACATGACGACGGTAACCGCACACAAGTTTGTCTTCATGGATTTATGGTTTTAGACTCCAGCACACTGTTTGCAAAATACATTCATTTGACACATTTTGGTGCATAAAAACAGATAAATAGAAATAAACGTACCCCGAAATGTGCTAACAATAAATGATAAGTGGGTAGATTACTATAAAATACTGTTAAAAGATGTGAGAGCCAAACTACATTCCCCCCAAAAATCAAAGTCTAGTATAGAAACATCGCAAATAAATGTGTTTTTGCAAGTTTTACAGTGTGCACTACCCTGTTTGAAACTATCTTGTGAACTAGACATGCAAGTAGTCCCTTCATTGATTCATTAAAGTATTTTTAGTATGTTTGTTTTCTTCTGTATGACAAAATGAGTGAATTAATCCTCCAAAGTATCCACAGCTACAATGCCACAAATCAGACTGACAACAATATGTAATAAAATGAATGAATCAGTACGTCCAGCATTTTTGTAAGTGCCCACACGTGTTACCAATACTGGGAAAACTGTAGCATATATATAAATATGAATAAGCAAAGCCTGCAGTTGAGCCGAGAATATTTGACCCATATCTGATGGTTGCAGCTGAATCACTGTTAGCTCTACGGTGCACTGAGAAGATGTCGTTTTTTTGCACAATCTGGTTACTGCAAGTTAGTTGTTTCTGGCTTTTTTCTGTTATTGAGATAAAGCGACTTTCCTGAAATACCACAAATCTAAGCTGAGATTATTTTGCCAACTGAGCGTCACGACACAGACGAGTAGTTCAAGGACTGCCAGAAAGTCTCTGATAAGTGGTTGATGTAATGTTTTTAAACTCGCTGATGGGTTTTGGGGTTCAGAAGGTTAAAACCACATTTATTTACTGAGCGAACGTCAAGTGTCTTTGCAGTTTGTGGTTATCTCCTATTCACCACATGCTGGATTCAACATGTACAATGTTTTTTTAGGTGCCCACAGGCAACACTGGCTTAACAACAAAAAAGGTGACTCTACATACCACAGACCTTTTAATCCTTAGTATTGTTTTTTATGTGTTCTCAAACTTAATTCCTATCTACTCGGTAAAAACACAGCCTGCAGTTCAACCGAAAAGTCCCACGATTGTTGTCACATAACTGTCGGTTGCAGCTGAGTCAACAACGGCTTCACAGTCGGGCAACCAAGTTAAGAATGTTTTTTGTTTTTCTAGAAAATGTGATTGGTGCAAACAGTTTATTTTTGGCAATTTCATCAGGATTTTAAGCTCAGGTTTGGAACGATGTGGCTCAGCTGAGTTGTTCAAAGACTGTTGGAAATCTGACAAGCCTGTGTGTTTTCACAGTTTCTGGCTCTGATAAATCTTGCAACAACAACAACAAAAAAAACATGCTTTTCAAACCCACTGGTAGGTTTTGGGCTTCCGATGTTAGATCACAGCTGTGAAGACGTGACCAACATTCCTCTTATAATTCGTAAACTTAAAGAAAATCTAAAATAATCACAGTAATTCAGACTAAATTAGCCCGTTGGTTCGCCCGAAAACGCTGCTTCATCTATTTCCAACGCAGCGTGATGTGACAGAAGAGAAAGAACAAGTCGAGCTCATCCCCTGCTGATGCTAAATTTATCTGCCGCCTCGATCCAAGCATCTTAAATATTTAAAAAAAACAAAACACGAGCGAGGCAGCGACTGTGAAACCTTGTCTGCTGGAAACGATCATTATTTTTTTACCTCATGAACATATTTGATGCAGTTTTGTATGAATATGTTGAGTACGATCTCCAAACAGGTCCAGAGAAGAAAGTTCTTTTTTTAAACAGACAATTAATTGTTTTTATATTAAAATCAACTGTTGGTTGGTTTAGAAACTCATATCATCCTTATGTGACAGTCAGGCCTTTGATGGAGTCTCCTGTGGTGATGCTACTTCAAATGTTTTACATCTTTTACAATCATCGAGCTCAAAAACTCAAAATCAAAATGTAAAATCTGTCACAAAATTTGACATTTCCTTCGGCTCCAATAACAGCAGCATGAAGGAGCGACTGAGGGAGGGCTGGGGATGGACCATGCAGCACTTCTCACACAGGCCTGTTTCATAATTAATGGGGACATACTTCAACACACCACTGAATAATGAAGGAGGGCTGTGGGGGCTCAGCACGGACGTGACGCCTGAATACTTCAGGAGCTTCGTCATGACGCTACGAACCGACACTTAAACATGAATTTCACAAACTGAACCGTGCGCACGAAGCAGCTCCGGTTTGTTTTCTGTCGGAACTTGTTGCAAAAACTGATTTGTAAAGCAGCAGCAGCAGCAGCTCGTCCACGTCTGACGTTCGGAGGGATTCTTCACCGACTAACTGGGTCAAAATCAGAAGCGGCGGCGAAGTGCTGCAAAGACACCACCCTGCACTGTCATCCCTGTGAAGCAGCGGCGGCCGCGTGAGCTGCACGGTTTCACAGAAGAGGCAGGTTTCTATCACCAGAGCAGCAGCTTGTGTTGGTGCTGTCACACCCAGAGAGGATGCAGGCTCGGTGATGCACCGAAAACTGTCACGAGTTGGCTCAATTTACTGATCTGTACAAGTGATTTCAGTCCAGAATTAAGATTTTCTGATATTTCCCTACATTTTGCATCTAAAATACTTTATTTACTTCACATTTCTCTTCCTCTTGATGCCAAATCTGTCTGAGAATTCACAGATTGAAGCAGAAAACAAAAAAAAAAGCAGAATCACAGCTCACCAGTGTGTCCCCGGTGCTGTTCTTCTTCACCCTGGTATCCAACAAGTCATGAGCCATCTCCTCTTCTGACTTGATCTGCTGCACCAGCCGCTTTGGATACGTGATCTCGGCGGCGGCGTCCCCACCGTCCGGGCTTCCCATCGGGGAGAACCAGTCCCACATGCCTCCATCCTGCACCGGGCTCCTGTCCACACCTGCACCAAGGAGGGGGAAATCCTCATTTACTGGCAAGTTAGGGACTAAATTAGAGCTTTGATGGCAAAGAAACAAGCAGAAATGTATGTGAGAGTGATACATTTGTGGGGAAAGTCATGCTGCGAGGTGGCTCGGTGACCCAATTTAAGTAATTTTGGTGGATTTGTGTGGTTTACAGGCTCCACAGTGCACTGATATATGCAGAGCCATACAGAAGGCCTATAAATTAAAGCCTCATTAGCCAGGATGCAGATAAATTGCCTGGTGATTGGCAGCTTTTATCACAGTGGTTTGGACGTTTATTGGATAAAAAGGGCTTGTGGGTCTTTAGGCAACGAGGCTGCAGAGGAAATGTGTTGATGCAGCAAATCTGCCGGATTGTGCTTCCAGGCCAGTGGGGCTGTTTGGCACCGAGATCCAGCTACAATAAAAAAAAAAAAAATCTAAAAGTGCTGGTCAAGGCAGAAAAAAAATCTGCGTGGATGCAAATAAAAAGGCAACGGCAGCTCCCCCTCTCTCTCTCTCCCTCTCTTACCTGAGACTGAAAGCCTCTCGCCCACTGCAGCAAAGACCATGAAGCACCACACCGCCTGCATGATCTTCACATATTCCCCCGGATTACTGCATCGAGAAGCCGCAGGATGTCACGGATGGAGGGGAGGGAAAAGAAGAAGAAGAAGAAAAAACAGACGGGGGAAAAAGCAGAAATGATGGCTCCGGAGTGAATCTGCTAAACATCTGACGACGCGCGTCCTCTCATCTCTCCTCCAGCTCCGAGCCGCTACTCAGGATTTGCATATCAGAATGATGGAAAAATGAATCGGAGGCCTGCGGCGGAGCGGGATCGATAGCAGGCCGATCAGCGAGGCAGCGGAGAGGGACAGGGGAGGAGTGCGCACCGCGGGCGCATCGCTCCGCAACGCTGCGCCGGTGCGTCCTGGTGTTTGGGATGCGGCGGTGCGGATCTGCGGTATGCGGAAACGGAGGGGAAGAGCGAGCGGAGAGAGATGCGTTGGGTCTGCTGCGGTGAGGAGGACACGTGGGACCGAGGTACCCTCCCTCAGCCCGAGCCGCCGCCTCCTCCTCCTCTTCCTCCTCCTCCCGTTGCCATGCAGCGCTGCGCAGGGAGAGGATGCGACAGACCGGCGGCGGCTCAAGTGCGCGGCCGGAGAGGAGCGTTGAAAGGGGGGATTAGAGGATGAGCAGCCCATTCATTCATCCTCTCACACTGAGAGCATGAATGGATGAGTGTCTCGGAGTGGAAGTGACATGAAGATGGCAGATCTGCAGAGGATGAAGGTGTGTCCCAACCGAGGAGCGCAGAACCAAACTGGAACCAAATGTCCCTGTTAAAATACAGGAAAATGTTCTGGTTTCCACTATTTAACTGCATTTTTACTTTTTCTTTTTTACAACTACAATTTAGGTCAGCAGCTAATTACTGTATAATTCATGACAGTTCTCTACAGCAGAGTATGAGGTGTACAAAAACAACTTGTTGAACAATTTACTGATATTTTACATATGTTCCTTGTTTTGTTAACCACTGGAGGAACAGAAAGTATTCATTCACATGTTTACCAAAAAAAAAAACTTTGTGACATCCACAACATAAATCAGTATTTTTATAAATGCAATTTACAAAATGTAATAAAAATTTTCTTTTACAATGTTTCAACATAAAGTTTTTTCATGTATTTAAATGAAAAATATAATTGTTTTCCACCTATTTAGTCATTATTTGAAAAGAAAAATGTTGTATATTAAAGACTGAAAAATGGTAAATTGTTTTTCAAATTGTCCTTGTTTTGTTACACTAAAGATAATATCTAATAAAATTACACACAAAAAAACTAATTTAAATGTTGGCAGTAAAAACAAACAAAAAATTGTAAGCAGCACCAACATCAAAAGTCTGGATTTTTTAAAATAATAATTTAAATTTAAATATCGCAATGTGTCGCCATAAAATTAGACTGTTAAACTGTATTCAAATCAGCTATTTAAAAAATCATTACTTTACAGATATGAGCAGTTATTTGCACGGTTCCACCTTTTAAATTTTTTTTTTCTGGCATCCTCGATTCCACATTTTTAACATTTAAAAAAAAAAGGTTTGTATTCATTTATAATGTGTACAGATTTTTTTTAATTCTGTCTTTTTCATTTGAAGAGAACTTATTTGTACAATAAAGGAAANAACTACTTAAAGGTTTAGCTGTGGGTTTAGATCTTGTACAGACTCTTAAAAACTGTAGCAGGGTTGAAACATACTTTGAAAAACTCACACTTTGACCAAAGAGTTTTACGTATGGAATTTAATTTGTAATTATCCTGTGAGCTTTATCAACACTCAAAAAAGCAGAACCCATTCCTAAAGAACATATATTAAAAAGCTTATTTTACTATATCTGAGTTCTTTGCTTCTACATTTACCTGCAGAAGCAAATGACCAAACAGATAATGAATTGTCCTGCATTATTAGCAGAAAAATCATTACCAAGATGTTGTTCCACCTCAGTGTCAGTAATGCTCTCAGGCTGACCGCCTCTATGAAACCGCTCATCTCTTTCTCTGTACATGATCAAATAAACACATTTCTAAGACTTTTCATTGCGTCTCAGATGAGAAGATTCACTCCTGATCAAACAGTCACACTACAAGGTCCCCTCAGCAGCTTTTCTTCTGCTGTGTCACGTCGTCTTTTCTCCTCCGACCTGTTATGAATCTTTTTAAGCCATTTTGGATATTGAAATGTAAATGACTGAAAATCAATATGCAGTCGACACTAAATGTAAAACCTTCTTTTACGTCGGATAGCAAGGTTGTCGGATTGTCAAGACGGAGGTCGAGATACAAGGAGGGCTTGATGCTTGAAGGCTCTATTGTTGTTTATCATTGTTCATAGTTTTTACAATAACTAGTGTGCTGTTAGAACACTACACATCGCTGGATTTCACTCCTAACTGACCGGTGCACTTGTGCACATTCCGGCCACTTCCACCTTGGGGGAGCGCTCTGATGGGATGGAAGTGGCCAGAACACACAGGCAGTACTTGGCTGCTGATGCTAGTTTAGGATAGCGGTCACATTTCTGTTTCCACCATTGGCGGCGGCGGCGGTGGGGCGTGGTGGATACGCTCCACCATTATCATCCATGTTTACTTCTGTAAACACTGAGCACGCTCGCTGCGTGTGACGTCGTTGTGTCCTCTTCTGCACATGCGGGACACTTCTGGGTCGTATGAAGTTCACACAGCAGATCACATACAAGTCGTATTTAATAGGAAATGTGAACGAATTCACAAAGAAAATCTGATTTCACAAAAAAATCTGAATTGAGCATTAAGTCCTGCAGTGTGAACGTAGCCAATCTGTGGATTGTTCAGTCAGATAATACGCCGTTATCCTTATTTGTGATATAAAATGTCATGTTGGAGTCAGATTCCAAGGTTGTCGCTATGTTAAGGCTGTTTTTAATGGGTTCTGTTCATTTTCCCTACAAACCTGTCGGATAGCAATTTTTTCAGATTGTTCAGGGTCGATTATTAAGTCACGACTGTCCATTTTTCACATGACGACGGTAACCGCACACGAGTTTTTCTTCATGGATTTATGGTTTTAGACTCCAGCACACTGTTTGCAAAATACATTCATTTGACACATTTTGGTGCATAAAAACAGATAAATAGAAATAAATGTACCTCGAAATGTGTTAACAATAAACGATAAGTGGGTAGATTACTATAAAATACTGTTAAAAGATGTGAGAGCCAAACTACATTCCCCCCAAAAATCAAAGTCTAGTATAGAAACATCGCAAATAAATGTGTTTTTGCAAGTTTTACAGTGTGCACTACCCTGTTTGAAACTATCTTGTGAACTAGACATGCAAGTAGTCCCTTCATTGATTCATTAAAGTATTTTTAGTATGTTTGTTTTCTTCTGTATGACAAAATGAGTGAATTAATCCTCCAAAGTATCCACAGCTACAATGCCACAAATCAGACTGACAACAATATGTAATAAAATGAATGAATCAGTACGTCCAGCATTTTTGTAAGTGCCCACACGTGTTACCAATACTGGGAAAACTGTAGCATATATATAAATATGAATAAGCAAAGCCTGCAGTTGAGCCGAGAATATTTGACCCATATCTGATGGTTGCAGCTGAATCACTGTTAGCTCTACGGTGCACTGAGAAGATGTCGTTTTTTTGCACAATCTGGTTACTGCAAGTTAGTTGTTTCTGGCTTTTTTCTGTTATTGAGATAAAGCGACTTTCCTGAAATACCACAAATCTAAGCTGAGATTATTTTGCCAACTGAGCGTCACGACACAGACGAGTAGTTCAAGGACTGCCAGAAAGTCTCTGATAAGTGGTTGATGTAATGTTTTTAAAACTCGCTGATGGGTTTTGGGGTTCAGAAGGTTAAAACCACATTTATTTACTGAGCGAACGTCAAGTGTCTTTGCAGTTTGTGGTTATCTCCTATTCACCACATGCTGGATTCAACATGTACAATGTTTTTTTAGGTGCCCACAGGCAACACTGGCTTAACAACAAAAAAGGTGACTCTACATACCACAGACCTTTTAATCCTTAGTATTGTTTTTTATGTGTTCTCAAACTTAATTCCTATCTACTCTGTAAAAACACAGCCTGCAGTTCAACCGAAAAGTCCCACGATTGTTGTCACATAACTGTCGGTTGCAGCTGAGTCAACAACGGCTTCACAGTCGGGCAACCAAG